CTATGTTGCTGGACTCCCATGTAGTCGACCATGGTTCGCATCCCGGACCCGGTGGCTTAAAACTCACACCGGGCGTGTGTGCATGCCTGCCCAAGATCCCAAGAGGAGAATGGAGGAGAAGGGATTGTGGCGTGGCCATCCCCCCTAGGGGGTGATTTCTCGCTTTCTGTCTCTCTCTCTCTCTCTCTGTCTGGCAAGCGCACGCACCCTATAGCAAAAACCTCTCCAAAAAAAAAAAAAAAAGAGAGAAGCCTGATAGGCTGAGTCCACACCTATGTACTTCTCTCCAACTCCATGATTATTTTCTGCCCTAAGGATTATAAACTCGCTACAGTTAGCCTCCAGGGATCGAGTGTATCACTTGGGTTCTTGGGCTGTAAGACAGGTCCCATCAATTCTGATTTGGTCCTTGTATCAAACAGAAGGTTATCTATAGATTGGGCTAGGAGAAAAACCATAAATCCCACCTGGGACTATGTGTAAGGAAACTGTGCCCAGGGCCAAACAATCTTTCAAGTCTTAGGAGCAAAAGAACAAAAACTGTCAGATGGTCAGGAGCAGGAGGCCTGTGAAGGGATCAGTTGCCAGGAATGAAAGCATAAGAGGTAGCTCATCATTTGCTGCTTGGCACAGGATTTGTTTCTTACATGTGTAAGGCCATTGTCTTAGTCCATCGAGGTTGCTATTAAAAAAATACCATGAGGGCCAGCAGGTGGCATAGTGGTTATGTCACTGGACTCCTACATGGCTGACTGCGGTTTGAGTCCTGGAATAGGTGGCTTGAAAATCACTCCTAGGCATGTGTGCCCATGATCCTGGAAGGATAATGGAAAGAGGGGATTGCAGCATGACCATTCCTCCTGAGGGGTTATTTCTCACTTTCCCTCTCACTGTGTCTGTCTCTGTCTCTCTCTGGCGGGTGCTCACACCCTAAGACAAAAACCTCTAAAAAAACACATGTGCACACAAAACAAAAACAAAAAATGTTTTCATTTCGATCTTTATCATCAGTCTTAAAACATTTAACCAACCAAAACATTTTAGGAAAAAAAAATCTTTTCCTTAAGTCTCTTAAAAGGAAGTACTAATTACTAAATAGTTTCAAAATTATTGTATATTAGGTGTTATTTTATCAAAGTGGCTAGTAAAAAGTAAATAAAAAGCAGAAGAATCTACAAAAAATGAGAATGGGACATCAATTAATTTAAACTTTTTTTAAATAAAGCTATAATAAACCCATCATAAAAATCCTAAAGTAAAACCATATAGGAAGCCTTGTATTTTTTTTAAATTCTGGGATCATTAAATAACAAAGTATAAGGTCTAGGTTAAGATACTATGTCAGGGGGCCAGCAGGTGGTGTGGTGGTTAAGGGTGCTGGAGTCCCACATGGCTGACTGTGGTTTGAGTCCCAGGCCTGACTGGCAGGTTGCTTTTTCACTTTCTCTCTCTTTCTTCGTTCCTCTCTGGTCAAATGAACATAAATAAATAGATAGATAGATAGATAGATAGATAGATAGATAGATAGATAGATAAAGTAATTCTTTTTAAAAAAGATACTATGTCAGGTCATCTAAGGAAAGTTAGGGATGAGTCTGTCTAGGTAGGTTGTAAGTAGTAACAAAGAACGCCAAGGCACAGTTACGTCAACAAGTTTCTTACTTGTATGACCGTGTTTACTGTGACCTGACAAGAAAGCTCACTCATCATGCTCACTCAGTAGCCGATATTGATGAAGCCTTCATTTCTGCCCTGTTTCCATGAACGCCACTGCAATGGAAGGCAGCGTGGCAAAACAAGTAGTACCTGTTAAAATGTCTCCATAAAATAATTCATATTTCTTCTGCTTACGTATTTGTTTGTGGCAGAACAAGTCCTCTAGCCATGCCTAACCTTAATGTGTGTGCATAAGGCAATCTTACAAAGTGCTGAGAAGGCAGAGCCCTGAGGTGACGTGGGGAAGTTTCAGCAGCTACCGTGAGGATCCTCAATGTGAACTTCCTGGTAGAGCCATCAAATGACACACCACAGAATTTATTAATAGTTCTTTTCTACCACTGGTTTTATATTTTTATATCATTAATGAGAAATAAATTATTTTGCATTCCTGTTTTTTTAAAAATCATCATCCTAATAATAACTTCCGTATTTTGAGCATCTACTGTATGACAAGACACCGTAGTTTGATCTTGACATATTGATGCACCTAATCTTACAGTAAGCTCCATTTTAGCGAGAGAAGCAGATTGTGAGATGAGAATGGAGCTGTGATTCTAAAACAAACATTTCTTCCACCCCGTTATATAAACATGCCTTCCATAAGTGAAGGGTGCAAGAGAAGTACCACTTTATCTCACAAAACAACAAATGATGACTAAATACCATATTTTTAAGAAGACTAAAGAAGTAAAGTGTTTGTGGAATGGTAAATATTAGCTCAACTTACCAAAACATGGTTGGAAATGAACTTCCATACAAGGGGACTGCAAAAAGTTTATGAAAAATGGAATTAAAGTATGAGCTTCTTCTGGCAGAAAAAAATTTCAAATCCATACATAGTTTTTCATAATACATTTCTTTTAGGTTTGTGCCATAGGGCACATGTGCTCACTGGAGAGAGCCAGAGACAGACAAAGAGAGGGGAAGAGAGAAATCATCCCCGGGGGAACGGCCACACCACAATCTCTTCTCCTCCATTCTCTCATGATTTGGGGCATTCACACATGCTTGCCTGGGATGATTTTCAAGCCACTGGTGTGGAACTCCAACTGCAGTCTTGTGGGAGTCCAGCACCTTAACCACTACGCCACCTGCTGGCCCCATAACACGTATTTTACATGAACCTTTTGGAGAACCCCTTCTGTCCTAGATTGTAGAGTCCTTGAAACGTGGGCTTTTATCTTAATGCTTTTACTTTTATTCGCCACACCTCTTATTATAGTTGTTGACATACTATATTATAGTTACTCAAAAAATTTGACCGATAAAGCCCTTTTTGTTTCTAATATTTCCTGGCAAGTGAACCTTGGGTGCTCAGCTGTTTTTTTTTCCCTCATCTTTTTTCCCCCAAAGCTAAAGGTACAATTTAATGTAAATGCAGATGGAGAACATCATTATTAACAAAATGTCTTTCACAGATTTAGTGATTTTGATGTGGCTCCATCCCCCTTCTGCTCCCACGACTACCTGGCAATTTATGATGGTTCTAACACCAGCGATCCCCTTCTTGGAAAATTCTGTGGTTCCAAGCTTCCACAAAACATTAAGAGCAGCAACAACAGTGTGCTTCTGGTGTTCAAGACAGATTCGTCTCAAACTGCGAGAGGCTGGAAAGTAACTTTTCGGCAGACATTGGGTAAGAATTTTGGACATGTGAATTTATTTTTCATAAGTTACCTTTCTGCTTTATTTCACTTCCCTCCCATATGACTACAGTTGCTTTTCATTTAAGCCTAGAAGAGTATGTCAGGTAAGGTCTTGCTGTGTGGTGAGGTGGTTAAGGCAGCTGGATCCCACTCACCCAAATGCACGGTTGGAGTCTCAGATCTGGGGACTTGAACAGTAGGCCTGAAATCGTGATAGGAAAGAGAGATAGAAGAGAAGGGATTGCAATGTATCTATTTCCCACAGGAGAGTGCTTTCTCATTTTTCCTCCTCCCCACCCCTCTACTCCGTCTCTCTGTGGTGAGTGAGCATACATGCCCTCTGGTAAATGAAAATATGTATGATATATTTTAATGTAAATTTTTTAAAAATTCATGTTAGAGAGCATGTTCATGTGAGAGAGAGAAAAGCACCATTGATGATGTGGTCGTGCTATGATCCCCTTCCTTTAGCTTGTGGATCTTGGGCACCCATGTGCATGTCAGGTACATTTCAGGTCAACTAGGCTGGTGATTTTAACCATGGTTTGCATTTAGCTTCCAGCACTTCAGTCTGGTACACTACAGATGATGCCATCAGAGGAGGCCATATTTTTATTTTTTCAATAACTATTCAATAGACGTACCTTTTCAGTAAACAAAGACAAAATCTCTCAAACAACCTCTAAGGAAACTTGGCCCTCATTTTATCACCTGTGGAAATGGTAGAAATTGAGCCTAAAGGCAAGCAAGGACCAGGTTAAGAGAATGCATGGGGGCTGGCAGGTGGCATGGTAGTTAAATGTGCTGGACTCCCACATGGCTGACCATGGTTTGAGTTCCAGACCCGGCAACTTGCTTTCTCACTTTCCCCCCCTCTTTCTCTCATTCTTTCCCTCTCTGGTCAAATTAAAATAAATAAATAAAGTTAAATAACACAATCGTTTTAAAAAATGCATAATATGGTGTGTTAAGTTGACCCTTCCAGTGGTAAAGTGTCCTAGAGAATTTTTAGTAAAGACTACCTGACTTGACTTGGCCATAGAAAGATCATTTGATAGCTGGGGGGGGGAGGAGGAGAGACTCAAGGACCTCAAAATCTGAGAAGGGAAGAGCTCCTCACAGATATCCCAATGGGAAATGTCAAGGGCTTGAGTGAACACGTGAGGCTCAGACAGGGGAAAGGGTGGAAATCTCAGCTAGTCAGAATGAACATGTGAGGCACAGAAAGGGGAAAGGGTGGAAATCTCAGCTAGTCAGAAGGTAAGACACCCTGAAAGTACAGTGTTTGGAACGTGATACATTATGTGAGTGCATGAAATGAGGGTGGCTTCTAATGGGTACATTCTTGGAGATTAGGATGTAAGGAAGAAATGTTATATTTATTCTGGAGTATTGGGGGGAAGCTGAGAGAGATCTAAATGGAGGTATCCAGTTGGAAGTTGAAGCTTCAGAAGCAATAGGGACTGGATAGAGTAGTGTGGGCGGTGAAAAGTAAGCCTATGTGTGAGGGTAAAGTAAAAATATTGCTTCCATTTATTCCCATTACATGAGTGAAATAACCCATAAAATTAACTCAGAACTTTCCATTGTCTAAATAAGAGGCAGTTATCAGTTATCTATTTATCTATACCAATAGGAACATGGCATAGTCTAAGGTAATTTTTATTGACTGGGGACAGTGTTTGTTCTTCCATTTGAATGTAGGTATGATTAACATCCCGAAAACTAACAGCACTCCACATGAATCTTACGTTCTGGGAAGATTCAATGAGAACTGGACAGTTTTCTAAAATAAAAATCCCCATTCATTTTTCAGACTTTCTCTCTCTTTCCCACTGGTGTGGATAACCTTCAGCCCTGTGGCACAAAGCAGAGTTTATTACCTTAAACCTCTTTACATTTGTCATGTTATTTTTGTATGCATTCCTTAAGGGAAGCAATTAGACATTTGTCTTTTGAAGATTTCCTCATAACCTGCAGACATCATGATAAATTGTATCAGAAAACCACCTCTCCATCTACTCAGCTATCTCAACAGTAACTTGAAGTGAGTCTCACAGGCAGGCGGAGAGCGTTGTCTTAATAGAATTGGGTAAGTGAAGTGGCATACAAAACATGGAAATTGGTTTTGAAAGAGAAAACTAATTTTCCTTTGGAGATGTTTGATGCACCAAAGAACTCATATATTCTTGCTTTTAGCGCAGACTTTAGAATCAAATGGTACATGTTTGCATTTGCTTTTCTGCCTAATGTATTCTCATATGATCATTGAAATATTTGTCTTAAAGCTCCCCACGTGGCTGTTTTCTGCAGGAAGCTTTCCAAGTTAGCTAGGGTTTCCGAGCCTCATGAAATCCCTGTGTTCTTCTGAGCTACACAGAAGACATGTTCAGACTTACTGTGATCGTGCTGAACTGAAGCAATTCAAAAGGGAACTCTTCCACTGTCGCAGGCATTGTCCCCACTCGATTGATTCAACACTCATGGTCAGTTACTGCTTTCCTCTGGTCAGAGAGAACAGGTTTAAGGGGGGAGAGCAGAAATTTTGTTACTCGCCAGAATTGTGCTGCCACTGTGTTTCATGAGGATGGCTTTCCCCTCTTTGTCATCTGTGTGAATACCATCAGCCAGTTGGACATATTCAAGAAGTAATCTTAACTAATTTTTTATCATAAATTTTTAGTGAAAACCTAGGTATCCTAATTCTGTACTGTAGCAGTCTAACAAAACTTTCAAAATCACACATCTAAATTTGTGATCATCCTGTATAACTTTTACATTTTCTTTTGTTTCTCTTTTGTTATTAGTGGTGAGAAAAAGGAAAGAAACAATAAAGGTAGCCTTAACTATAGGGTTTACAAAACCTTTTAGAACTGAATTTTAAAAACTGATGCTTGGGTGGTAGAGTACGCCCCTCGCCTCCGCACCACACTTTCCCTGTAAAAAAAGGGAAAGTGGTTTTGTGCACAGGCAGTGAGTGTCCGTGTCCAAGACTGCCGATTCAGCCGAGAACGTAGTATTTTCACCGAGTAACCGTTGTGAAGAAGAGACTGGGCCAGACCCATGGCATAATGGTTAACGGCTCTGGATCCCACATGGCCAACTTCAGTCTGAATCCCGGTCCTGGCCACTGGAAAAACATACTGTGTGCATGCCCCAAATCTTGGCAGGATGTAGAAATGAAGGACAAGGGCCTGCAGTGTGGCCATGTACTACCGGGAAGTGCTCCCTCCCCCCACACTCTGTGTCTCTCTGGAAAGCACACATATTCTCTGGCAATTAAAACAAACCAAACAAAAAAAAGTCCCATTTTGATCTGTGACATTTCTGTTTAGTAATATGTTACCTAAAGCATGAAACTTGGAAATTTTGTTGTTTAGATTGTCTGCTGGCAATACTGTACATACACCTGCTTTGATTTTTCACAGTTCGGTAAAAGCCCAGCTTACATAGTCATGTGATTATCAGGTAAACTTCTCTTGGTGCATTTGTAATATTTATTGCTAGTGGTGAGAGTAAATTTGGAGGAAATGTCCCCTAGTGCCTAATTCCTTAATACTCGTGAAATTGGGTTCCTTTTTCCACGGGACTTCTTGCCTTCTCATTTTCCCTGTGCACTCCAACGCTACATGAATAATTGATCTGAATGACTGACAGCCGACAGAATGATTCTGCTAGGCTTCAGGGATCTGGGGATCTGTGAAACTAAAATGATCTGCAAATGTAAATATTTTTTCTGGACCAAGTGTATAGCTTTTATCAGATTGTCAGTGACTTTCGTCATCCCCTAAAGTTTAAAAAGCTACTAGTTCTGTGGATTTGGCTTAAGCGGGTCCTTTTCTGTCGTTAGAACGACACGCGTAAGTTTATTTTATCCTTGTAACTCCTGCTGTTGTGTCTGACCCCCCTTTCCCAGGAGGGTCTGCTTCATCCATGACTGCTCACGTGTGTCGTGGACAAAGTGCTTCACGCGTGCAAATGTGTTTTTAACCCCACAGCCTCCACTTTTCTTTCTGGACTGGTCTCACACTTGAGTGTGACACAGCCAGTCTCTTCACAACACACTTGTCACATTATACACCAAGCTTCTAGATGTAGGGTGAGACCAAGGAGTTTAAGTACATTTATTTACTTAATTCTGAAATTGAAAGCTAAATTTTAATTAAACCCCAGTTTCTGTAGAGGCCTAGCACATAGTTGTTACTCCATTTATATTGACTCCAGGAATAAATTGAAGAATAGAGAGCCAGCCAGGTGGCATGGTGGTTGAGGTGACTGGATCCCACATGGCCAACTGCATGGTTTGAGTCCTGGACCTGGCAGCTTGAAAAAATGTGTGAACATGTATACATGTGTGCCCAAAGTCCCAAGAGAAGAATGGAGCAGAAGGGATTATGGCATGGCCATACCTCTAGGGGTGCTTTCTCACTTTCCTTCTCTATTTCTCTGTCTCTCTTTGGTAAGCGCAGGTACCCTATAGCAAATTATGCTGACTTCAAAATTATATTTTAATACAAGATATAATATATACCATATATTATAAATTATATCTAGATTTATCTCATTCTTAAAATTCAATCATGGTTCATATAGTTAAATTATTATATTGACTAGTAAATGGAATTGCTTTCATTTTCATTGCATTAAGAATTCTAGATTGGTCTCAATACCTGGGTCATGTGTGTTTGGTCTCTGGGCTTTAATTTTATTTATTTATTTATTTATTTTTTGCCATAGGGTGCTGCACACTTTCCAGAGAGGAGAGAGGCAGAGAGACAGAGAGAGGGAAAGTGAGAAACCACCCACCTGGAGGGGATATCCATACCTCGATCCCTTCTCCTCCATTCTCCTCTTGGGGTTTGAGACACGCACACACATGCATCCAGTGTGTTTCAAGCTACCAGGTCTGTAACTCAAACTGCAGTTGGCCATATGGGAATCCAGTCACTTTAACCACCATTCCACCTGCTGGCCTCTGGTCTCTGGATTT